CTCACAGTCTCTCGATAAATTCACTTAAATTATTTATGCAAGGTTCCCTATTCCTGAAGTGTGTATGCGCTCCTTGGCACGGAGAAAGAGGTTTCCCAAATGTGGTGTTTACCGAGAAGACAGAGACAAGTCCAAGAAAACAATGGAACAGTTTCTGGTGAAAATGCATTTGAGTCCAGCTGCAACCCAGGCCCTGTTCTTTTGGAAGGACAGAAGAAAAGCTTGAGTAGAAGGAACACACATTTACATAGGCTTATAGACACTATATTTATGAAAATAATCTTTTTCTAGCTTTAACTCAACCATAGCCTGAAATTTCATAAGTTTTGGTCATAATAAAATAGCACTCAAATCTTTTTGTTGTTTTGCTGAGACAGGGTCTCACTATGTAGTTGCGACTGACCTTGAACTCACTATGTAGCCCAGGCTGGTCTCAAACTCACAGTGATCCTCCTGCCTCAGCCTTCTGAGTGCTAGGATTATAGGCATACATCACCATACATGGTTTTTAATTCTATTTCAAATTTTAATTGTACACTTTATAGTTCCTTGAATTGGGTCTTCTTATCCCAATTAACTCTCATTTCACTGTGGAATCTACCATGGCATATATTTTATTTTATTACTTTCACTATATGTATTCCTTACCTTATGTGGATTATTTCACATAACCTTCATATTATGTCATTGCCTCATAATTATCAGTAGGGCAGCTATTAATCTTTTCTATTATCTTGCTCAATAGATATGATATGAAATTATGTGTCTGATAAAATTCTCTGGCCCTGGTTCTTTCTTTTCCTTTCTTTCTGACAGAGTCTCTCTTTGTAGTTCAGGCTGACATTGAACTCACTATGTAGCCCAGGCTGGCCTCCAACTCATGGCCATCCTCCTGCCTCAGCCTCCCAAATGCTGGGATCACAGGTCTGTGCTATCACGCCTGGCTCTGGTGCTTCTTTTAAAAATGGTTATTTTTCTTTCAGGTACTCTTTTTTTTTTCTATTTCTTCACATATATATTTTATTAGTGTATATTACTCTTATGAAATATTGAGTTTTCTATTTTTCTTAGAGCAAGTTTGGTAGTACGTATGGAAAAGTCAACATTTTGTCTCCACCTATGAATATATTCACATCAAAAACATGTATCATTTAATTATTTTCTATATTATTTATGTGCCCTTTCTGTTTCAATATTAAATTTACCAAAGGATTAACTTTTTCATTTTCAGTATTTGGTTTTATTGATTAATTCAGCTTTTATAAGGTAGGGAAGTATGATCTATCCTTTTATTCTGCTTTTATTCTAATTTATTCCTCCTACTTTCCTCAGGCTTTTATTGTTCTTTTATTAGCACAAGTTAAAAGTTCAATGCATTTTTTTAATAGTTCTCTTAAATACACTCTATAGGTATGAATTTTCCCTTATTATTTTATATAGATTTTACTGCATGATGTCCTCACAGTTACTTTGCTGGGTGTTTTTGGTTTTGTTTTTGCAGTGGTTGGATCGAATTTTTGCTTATTTCTAAATAGTATGTAATTTTTGTTTGTTTGTATTTTGAGACAGGGTCTCCCTACTCAGGATAGCCTTCACTTAACTGTGTAGTCCAGGCTGGCCTTGAACTCAAGGCAATCCTCCTGCCTCAGCCTCCCAGGTGCTGAGATTATAGGCATTCACCAGCATGCTTGGCTAAATAATAAATAATTTTTTATTTTGACATGGCCTGTAATCTATGTGATTTTTTTCTCTAAGAATATAGATTAAGGAGAATATGCTCACTTATTTTAAGGGAATATGCTTTATAATCTGGATATGTCCTGTGTAGTTCCAGTTTTTCAAAATGTGTTGAGGTTTAATTTGCGCTTTCCCTCAGTATCAAATTGTCAGTATTTCATGTGAATTTGAAAATAATGTAACTTTCCCATCTTGACTATAAGATGATGTCGGTATAAACAAAGGTTCATCTTGTTGACCATGTTTTTAAATCTCTAAACCTTCAATAACTTTCAGTCAACTTGATCTGTCAGTTCTTTAAGACTGCGTTAAAGTCGTCACTGTGATCACTGAGTACCCAAATCCTGGCTCGCACATTTGTGTGAGTGGCTTCACGTGTGTGTACTGGTTAAATGCAAGCAATTCATGCTCATGCCTCACTGGGTTACTGCGTCTAGGATATGGAGTATCGTTCTCCTCCTGCCGTGTGTACGGATCTATCATGGCCATACACTTATCCTGAATTTGTACCCTCCACAATAATATCTCCACCCACCTCAGTGCAGCATAAATCTTACTTGCTTGTTTTACCCCTCTTCGCTCTTGCCTTCCCCCCACCCAGAATTTGAATTCCACATTTTCTTAATTTTTCACAATCTGATAACAATGTGTTTCACCAGGTACACGGCTACCTTTGCTTCTGGGCTACATCTTCCCTTGGCCTTCTTTGAAAACTCCTGCTGGACTACAACTCTAGTAATTCCTCCAGACAGGTGCTGAAGTCCCTCACACTGAAATGCTAAGTCTGGCTGGATATGAAGGTCTCGTTTCAAGCTGACACACTTCGTCATCCCAGTTACTCAGGAGACTGAGGCAAGAGGATCACAAGTTCGAGGCCGGCCTGGGCAATTTATGGAGACCCTGTCTCAGAAGAAAAAGGAATGAGGGGTAGCTCAATGCTTCAGCTCCTGGGTTCAGTCCCCGGTACCACAAAGAGAACGCGTATCTTCTCGTATCCAGGGCTGCCCAAATATGCCTGCCAAAAATGTGATCTCCATTTCTTTATAATCCTGTTCTCTGCGTGTCCTGGAGCCTTCTCTTTAACTCTTTGTTCCGAAATGTTACTACTGTGTATCTTGGCGAGGGTTCTTTCAGCATCATCCTTGACTCCTCAGTGCTTAATGGGACCTTGGAGGCTGAGGAAATAGAAAAGCTTATCTGGAAGTCTGTATTTTATTTCTTAAACTCTTCCAATTTTCACCTCCAACTTCTCATCCTATTGGGTGAATTTTTGAACATCTGGATCTTTCAAGTCATTTAAGTTCTCTTTCACATTTTTCATTTTTTGTATCTTTTTATGTGCTTTGGAGGGATAATTTCTAGTTTGATCTTTTGCCTCATTTTTTTTTCTCATCTGTGTTAGTCTATCCTGGATTCATCCTTGTTGATTTTTTAAATAACAAAGTTTACATTTTCATAGCTTTAAATTTTCTTGTGTTCTCCCCTACCTCTGAGGACATTACATGCACTTACTCTGAGGTCCTCTTCGATTAAAAGTTCCTTTGCGCTCTGCTGTTTATTAAACTTGGTGTCTCTGATTTAATAACAAAATTCAGATCTATTCAAATTCACTTAGGCCCTACATTGGGCACCACACTGATAGTCCAGTGAAATTTCCCAATCTACTACTTTATCAGAAACAAGTGTAGGATACAGAAGACACTGCTTGCCTCTCTGCAGTTGTCAGGGAAGGAGATTTCTCCCGAATATTCTGATGACTCTTGCTGATGTGCTCATCTTGGTACCAGGGGATTCCCCTGCCGATGCTGCCTGTGGATGATAGGATGGCAAATCATTTTGGGCACTTACAGTAATCGTTCCTCTTGCCTGGCACTTTCTCGTTTCTTTCCCTTTGGCCACAGACACTGCCAGCATCAGACATTTTTGGGGCTTGTTATATTCTCCAAAGTAGGAAAAGGGCAGCTATGAGTGAACCCTCCCCGCAGCCCCTGCTGTGGTAACCCAACAGTGATGGTGTCACTGGTCCCAAGGCCAACTCTCGCTCCTGTACTACACTCTCCACTCTTATCCCGCCTGCCACCTTTTCGTCAATCTCCCATGCTTTCTAGGAATGTGGCAGCAAAGATGGGAAGGAGACATCCATACTCCAGCACGCTACCTCGACTCAGTAGTTACATTCACCTGTGTTAGAACACGAGACACTCGCGCAACATTCAGAATTGCTACCTCCAACATCAACTAACGTTAAATGAAATGTTTATTGCCAACCGTTAGCTAAGCACCATTATATGTGTTTGCTCATTGATTCTTTATGACAAGTTTGCGGTAAGCCTTACTATTATTCCCCATCTAAGATGCAGGAGCAGAGTAAGAAACAGCTCCTTGCCATACCACTGAGAAAGTGGAACTCGTTACACCGGCTGTTCCTCGTGTGACACAGTGGCAAACCCAGAGGACTTAGGGCTGCATCTTCCTCTAACACTTCCAGAAGACATCTTCAAATGTATTTATTTTGACATCTCTGTGTTGTAAGGCACCGTATCTGTACCCAATAACTCAATGACTTGGTTCACATTCATAATCCTTATTTTCTTATGTCAGGAAGAACAGTCATGGCTTTTGCTGTTTTGCTTTGCCTTTGTAATCTTTACAACTCTACTTTTCTCCACACTATAAAAGATTTGCATCTATTAATCCAGAGAGATTTCTCAATTATGCCCCTTTCTCTCTCCTCCAAACAAATCCCCACAATCATAAATTATATAAAAGTAAAATTCCTTTAGACAAATGAAAAAAAAAACTTCTTACCTTCTTTCTCTACCAAGAAGCTTAGATCAGCAAAATTATTCAAAGTATTATAATGTAACAGGGAGAAAAATGAAAACCCAATCCAATATGTACCATAAATTGATAAATTAATCAGCATACTGTTCTCCTCATTGTTCTGCAGATTAGAATATGGGTCTTGGGTATGTAGACATGCCGAACTAGATGAAATATAGTTCCAGAGAGAAAAAGTGTTCTAGATAGTTTCTATTTACTTGGCTCGCTTTTGTGTTAAATCCTCAAAATTCAGAGCGTTCAACTAAAAAATCAGAAACCAGAAAGAAGTGTTTAATGAAAAGTGTTTTTTGAAAACACTGATATGAAATATTACAAGCATCATGGGAGAGGAAAAGAAGTCATTTCAAAATGACGGCAACCAGAAGCATTGTACACCGGTACTGCTAGCTACTCAGGAGGCTGAGGCAGGAGTATGAGTTCTGCCTGGGCAACATAGAAAGATCTCATCTGAAAAGTAAATAAAAATTAAAAAGAAAAAGAATGCCTATCAAAGACTGGACGAGCCTTCACCGAGTGCCAGTAACAGACCTTATAAAGGTTTTATTTCCTAATTCGTTGTTTTTCTATTGGGCCACCAAACAAATACAGACTCAAAGACCCTGCAAGTAAATTGTGGGAAAATGCCTTCGGATGATGTTTTTAGAATTAAAGACGTTCTCGTCTGTGAACATGAGATGCTTAGGGAAAGTGACCCTCAAGTCACTAGAAATCTAGGAGAGCTCCGTAGCTGGGAAAGGAAAAGGGTTCCTGGAGTGCGGCAGGAATCTTAACCGCAGGCGACTAAGGGGCGACACTTACCGAGACTCAGAGTGCTATACCCTGTGCTGAGTGCACTAAGCACTTCGTCTCATTCCATTGGAGCAAGCCTAGGAGGTGGATTCTAGTCTTTTCTTCATTTTCACAGAGGACAAAACTGAGGATTAGAGATGCAAACTTTCTTTCCGAAGGTCATTCGGTTCTCAGGCGGGGCTGAGGCTCAATCATCAGGGTAGCACTCGCCCTCCGGCAAGAACTCCGGAAATTCTAACAGGGAAAGCCGGCAAAGTGGAAAAGAACCAGAATTACTGCAGTTCATGGTGCCGATCCAGCTCTGGTTTGACACTAAGAGCCATCTCTACCTCTGCCCCTCTCCGAGCTGCCTGCCAGCATGGAGGGTGCTCCCATGGGGGCCAAGGTTACCTGCTTCCTTCTTGTATGGCCTCTTCCATCCAGGTGAGGTGATCTTGGTCAGAGCCAAGGAACAAGGTGGAGTGTATGGGTGAAGTTAAAGCCATTATGGCCCACAAACGTGCTTAGAACCCTCATACTATAAAACATTCATAAGTTCATTTAATTACTTTTTTTTTTTTTTTTACCGGCGATTGAACTTGGGACCTTGAGCTTGTGAGGCCAGCTGCGGAACCACTGAGCTAAATCTCCAGCCCTACTTAAGCTAATTTAGAAACAATATGAAGAGTAGGATAGGCAAACCATCTGAAGCTCCTAAAAGAGTGAAAGGATTATAAATGGGTACGGCAAGAAATTTGCAGGTCAACAGTTAGACTCTCTTCATTTTACAGAATAAGATTAGGAGAGTCAAAGATGTGACAGCAGTCAGTGACTTTAATCCTAAATCCCGACTTACTTAAATTATTCCAGGCTCAGTATTGCTGACCGCTGGAACCATTCTGGAATCTAACCTTCCTTGCCTCTGATGAGCACTTTGATGACCTCTTGCCTGGTGGTCATCAGGAAAAGGCCAGAGAGAGATGACTCAAGCGGCATTCTAAAATTGAGTGAAAGAAGTAATACGGCACATTTTATTTGACTTTTAATGGGATGTAGATTTGAACTCCTGTTATAAAATCATCAATTAAATTCACTTCACACACAAAAGGGCCATGTAAGCCCCTCACTTAGTCAGAATGACTTTCTTCTAGTGGTGTGAGGTGGCCTACATTTGCGGACCTAGCTATTCTGCAGGCTGAGGCAGGAAAGTCACAAGTTCGAGGCCACCTATATAATTTAGTGAGACTCTGTCTCAAAGTAAAAATTTAAAAGCTCAGGGGTAGAGTGCTTGTCTAACGTGTTCAGGTCCTGGGTTCAGTCTCCGATGGAGAGAGGCTTCATTTCAAAGTTCAAGGAAATCGTAAACTATGATTGCCCCAAGGGCAGATTTATTCGGTATAATAAACGTCCACCGACTAGTCTTTGTCCAGATGAGTCTTAACTTTTAAAATGAGTCTTCAGAAATTCACTCCACATGTTTAACTGTGGGCTTTTGTGTACCATAAATTCCTTGTTCACTCATCCTCAAACTGTTTCCTTTCTCACATTTTGTGACTCAAGGGCTCTGACACACCCACAAGTGGACGCGTGAAGATCTGACATTTGGGCACCAAATACAAATACCTCCAAAACGTACCAACACACACACACTAAAAATCACCTCCCCAGGCCCAGCTTCCAACCTGACTGAATCAGGAAATTTCATAAGAAGCACCTGTAACTGCTTCAAAACAATTGCGGAGATCCTTAGTATCAGGAAACTTTGTTACAGAACCAAGATGGGCTCCTGGCCCTGGGAAGAGATGGTTTCCCTGTGTAGAATGACTCAAAAACCATCACTAAGACTACGGAGCTTCATCCCAATACAGAACACAGGTTGGATGGAGCTGAGGGAAGGGGTCACTTATTAAGGACTGGGCCAGGTCTGATGGCTCATGCTGTAACACCATCACTCTAACGGCTGAGGCACAACCTCCAGCTCAAACTCCGTCTGTACTACATATCGAGACCCTGCCTCAAAAATCTAAAAATAAATGAGGATTACATTCTGACAGAAGGGAGATTTGGGGCCCCTGAGTCTCCATCCGGTATGAGAAGCAATACTGTAAGGCAGGTAATTCTTACAGGGACTGTCCCGTGCATTAAGATGCTCAGTATTCCCAGCTTCTACCCATGAATGCGCCCCTCTCACAACATGCAATAAAAGTACTTCCGGCCGTGTCCAAGGGTCCCACGGGAGTAGGGGCAAACTTCCCTGGTTAAAGTCCCTGGGATAGAAACCAAAGGAGGATGCCTAGGTCAATTCGTATAGACATGCATCAGATACCTAAAGCCTGTGACATGTTTAAAGGTGTAAAAACAAAGGTTTAGACGCTAAGTGAGAGAAACTAGGGGCTTTCCACGGTAGAGAACCCCGGTAATTATGTTTAAAAACGTAATAACTTTAGAAACGCGGGGGTGGAGGGGGAGCACTTCAACCCCGCCACACTGCTCTCTTCCCCGCAAAACAAAACCTAACCAGAGGTATGACCAAACCTATTTTCTGTTGCGTTCCCACATCATTTGCTAATAGCGACAGTCAAACGACTGACACTACTAAATCGCATTAAGAGGCTTTCTCCTCTGAACCAACCAAAATGTACTCTTGAGCACATCCTAAGCAAAAGCGGGTCGATCGTCAGTGTTTACAGCTGCTTTCTCCGACAACTGAAGTGGCTCTGAAAAGAGCCTTTGGGGTAATAATCCATCTGTCGCGTCCCTTACTTGGAGCTGGTGTACTTGGTGACGGCCTTGGTGCCCTCGGACACGGCGTGCTTGGCCAGCTCGCCAGGCAGCAGCAGGCGCACGGCCGTCTGGATCTCGCGGGACGTGATGGTGGAGCGTTTGTTGTAATGCGCCAGGCGGGACGCCTCGCCGGCGATGCGCTCGAAGATGTCGTTGACGAAGGAGTTCATGATGCCCATGGCCTTCGACGAGATGCCAGTGTCGGGGTGGACCTGCTTCAGCACCTTGTACACGTACACCGAATAGCTCTCCTTGCGGCTGCGCTTGCGTTTCTTGCCGTCCTTCTTCTGTACCTTTGTAACAGCTTTCTTTGAGCCTTTCTTGGGAGCAGGAGCAGATTTCGCCGGATCCGGCATTTTTCTCTCGCTGTACAACTGCAACACACACCAAAGCAAGCCACCGCTGACTACGCCGCAAGCAGCCGGTTACGCGATACTTATAGAGCTCGTATGCAAATGAAGGTTCCAAGACTGCTGCGTTTTTATTGGTTAATTTAAACCAATGTCGTCATAGATGGGTGGAGTCCACGTAAATTGTAGATTTCAATTGCGCTTTCTTAGTGGTCACTAGAACAAAAATCATGTTAGCCAATCAAAATGTTCCACTCCACATCACCCGCAGTAAATTACGCAGAGCAGTGTTTCATCGGTTCAGGGCCTTTTTCGTTATTTTCATTAGATTGTAGATTTATATACGGAATTCTCAAGTACGAAATAGTTTCTTCTATTTTTGCACCATTTCACTGTATATAAACACCATCAGGGACTCACTGCTCTGGTTTCCACCACCTCTATTATGTAACAAATACCAGGCTATAAACCGACTGTGTACAATACTTTAATTAACAAAAAAAAAAAAAAAAAAAAAAAAAAGGCTTCCAAGAGGGACCGTCTCCAGCGCCAGGACCTCACACATCTCGGGACTCAGCGTCTCTTGCCTCCCATATAAAATCTTCCCCTCCAGAGCTGATAAACATTTCTCTAGGTTTAATTCAGCAAGGAAAGACTGAGTTGGCCAGAATGAAGACAACACTTGTTTCCTGTCATATAATTAAAAGGAGGGCACCCACATCCCAGACGACCCACCTTTGAGGACATTCCCCTTGTTTTCAGGACACCAACAGTAAACACAGCTGAAAATCCGATACAGCTGCTCTTAGTGGAAACGTAGGTGGCTCTGAAAAGAGCCTTTAGATTAGCTTTAGTGAATGACTTAGGCCCGCTCCCCGCGGATGCGGCGAGCCAGCTGGATGTCCTTGGGCATGATGGTGACGCAGAAGGCCTTACCCGCTCCCCGCGGATGCGGCGAGCCAGCTGGATGTCCTTGGGCATGATGGTGACGCGCTTGGCATGGATGGCGCACAGGTTGGTGTCCTCGAACAAGCCCACCAGGTAGGCCTCGCTCGCCTCCTGCAGAGCGATCACA